TTTATTCAGATGAGTTACCCCTTCTAAATTTAACTAACAGGGCATGTTTCTGTCTGATTTTGGTTGGTCGCATTCCAAAATACACAACCCTAGTACAGAGCTAGAAGCAGGCAATGGCAAACCTCAGCTGTTCCTCTTTTGCCTTGAAGATCCCACGGGGGTCACCATACATCAGCTGCAACTTGACAACACTTTCCACCACCACCAGTACAGAGCTATAAGAGGGTCTGAGCTGAAGTGGCAAGCCCTCCGTGTGTGCGACAGAGGACAACTGAGGAGGTTATTCCTTTTAGTTACAAGGTTCAAGGCCATTTCGTGAGCCATTGGTAGAAGCCGTCCCTCTCCAATGACTCTGGCCTGTTCAGTCCTCTCCATGACAGGGGGTCCCTTGAAAGAGAGTCCCACCAATGATTACAGGTCAATGAGGCAAAATTCGGGACGGTGACATGAGCTGAAGCAAAAAATTCCCAGTTCAAGGAGAGAGAAGTACAGGCCCCTTAGGCAACAGGAAGTGGCTTTTTTTGTGTCCGCTAAGATGAGAAATGAAAAACTGAACAAGAATCAGGAATAGCTTACTTTGTCAGAACAAGCCTACCTATTCTGCAAATCCAGCTCCCAAAGAATTTGCAGTATTGTGAAAGCACATTACCAAGTAGACGGCTCATTAGGGCATTACCAACCTCAAACCACAAAAGAACACAATTTGAGTACGTAAGAATTATGAAAGAGTTTGAATTTTATACATAGAATATGTACATCAGTTTTGGACATGTGGGTCTTATCCATGCAGCTTCAATACAAAACTATTTACAAAAGAAAATTAAACAGCAGGACCATTTTCAATGAACATATACTCGTTGGAAGCTCCAGCAATAAAGTAGTCCTGAAAAGAGAGTGCTGAATCATATACAAGAACATGAACAATGAGGGGAAAGCATTTTACCAAACATGAATGCAAAGTGAATTAAAATGCAAATAGATATGGCAATATATACACAGAAAAAGTAATAGTCCCTTGCTACTGATTTACTTTCCAAACTGCTGAAATTAGTTTTGCACACATTTACATAAAGCAGCTGCTGCCAATTTGGTTATAGTTATGGAATTAGTTAGAAAGAAGGAAAAATACAAAAGTGAATAACAAGATACTACTTTTTTTTTTAAAAAAAAAAAGCACACGCCTGCACACCCGTCCTCGTTGTTGTCCCAATTCTATTGATTACACAAGTCTTCCCAGTCACCCCCCACCCCACCACAACAATCCTTTAACAAGTGTGCTTATTTGCATCTGACACCCCCCCCCCAAAAAAAAAACAAAATAGCGGTAGCACTGAGTTTTTAATCATTAGTTTTACACATCACTATCTGGTTCAAAGAAAGAAGACAAATCAACATTTCTTCTTTAAAAAAAATTTTTTTTGCACAAGGATACATTCACAAGGAGCTGGTCTTGCATGAGCTGGGAAGTCTGTGGATGCTCCCTCTTCTCAACAGCCAGTTTTGTGGGAATGAGACAGGACACTTTTCAGACCACCCCCTGAGAAGAAGCATCAATCCACAGAGAACCCGGCACATACAAGGCAGGTATTATTGTCTGTGCAAAGGCATTCTTGGGAAGCACGATGAGAAGACCAAGGTGACCATGAAAACAGTCCTAGAAGCGTCAGCAAAACTGTGTGCCATGAGCAAAAGTCACCAAGATCAGGGTCAGGAAAGAAGTGCTGTGCTTGATGATTAAAATGTAATGAAAAGGGGGGAAATGCCTGCCATACACCCCTATCTTGAATTAAATACTATGATTTTGCACAATTTGCCAAGCCTCCACAGGGGAAGCAAGGCTTTATATATCTGTACTTTCTCATTCCTTTCTAAAGAGACAGGATGTCCCCTTTTACAAAGTGAAACCTATCCTTCGTTAAAAAGGAACGCCTATAAAAAGAACATTCCAAACAAAGGAACAATAAGTAGGCCTAAAATTACTAAGAAAGGGTGTATTTCCACTCTCTTTGATTTAGCAAAACCCAAGGCCGCACTTTAATGCAGAACAAACCGGGAGGGGGATTTACTCAACAGGGCTCCTTCCTGCTCCCATTTGCAATGCCACGCACAAAAACATTTTATCTGAATATTTCATCCTAAGTGCTTCTGTGTTATGTGCTGTTTATTCAGTCTCAAAGAGCAACTTTGCCAAACTTAATTTTGGTAAGAGCTATTTCACAGTTCCCTCCAGTGCACTCTTAACTTGGCACTTCCCATCACGAAACCTCACAGAATCTACCTTGGGGTACATTTGGAAGAGAAACAGAGAGAAGACCTTGTATCCAATGAGATCTGGTAATGGAGTTCATGGGGCAGGATCTTCCTGCTACCCCCATCTGAATTATTGTTTGGGGAGGGGGAAGTGGAATGCCTTCATGAACAGCACTGGGGGCAAAGTGGAGGTCTGCATTGAGAAGAGAGAACTGGCAAAAACTGCCCTCTCCATTCCAATGATAGAAGGGTATCAGAGACAACCAGCAGGATACAAGCTAAAGTCTAACACAATTCCTGGCACCCTCACTCAAGGTTTCTTGATGAAAGCCATGGTCAACACAACACTTTTGCACTGATTTTGATCTGGAGAATTGGATAAATCCTCAAGACACAGTCTTGGTTTACCATCTACTCCAATGGATTACTCTAAGGACCAAAGAGAGGAATTTGAGTTTCAGAACTTCAAGCACATATCAAGGCAGACTGCCAACACTGTCCTCATGAAAAGGAAACCTTGGTCCATAGTAGTAACTTCTGAATTTAAGTAAGTCACAGGAACAAACTTTCAAAAACAGGCTGCTGCCAACAAAAGTGTTGCATGTTCAGATGTTCACAGCTGCACATGTTGGAAGCAAGTAGGTTTGCCCTAGCTGGGGAAATGGGAAGGACTGCTTTATAAGGAGAAAGGGCTTGTTCTCAGGAAAAGGTCACACCGTCATTGGGAGTCGGCACTACATTCCACTCTTCTGAACCCAAAAAGCATACCACGATTTGGCTGACTTCTAAAACAATCTGCAGGAGCTTTTAGGGAGAACATATAATTCAACAGGCAAGCTTAGCTATACTGCTTGGCTTACTGAGCAAAGAAAGGGGGGGGGGAGAGAAAAGATGCAACTTTAAATCTTAGGCCAAGATCTAAGGGACTTGCGTAATTACTTCCACAAGTCCCGAGACAGCAAAGCTACATGCCCAAGCCTCTTTTGTATAGGAGGAGGAATAACAGTATGAAAAAAGCCATGGATGATTGCTGTTCAAAGTGAAGCAAATCAAACTTAAGGGTACTTGCCAAGTTTGCATCCTAACCCCTGGCTGCTCATCCACTCAGCCCCTACCCTTTCAGCCATTTACAGTAAACTACGTACGCTGTGCTGAAGTGGCATCTGTCTTGAAGGAGTAGCCAGAAGGGCTGGGGAGAAGAGAAGGAACAGGCCAATAGACCCTGCTGCCAACTTGGACCAGGGCACAATCCACACAAAAGTAGTCCTTAGCTTTTGTTTGTTCTGATAAACCCAAACTAATTTGCAAGAAGACTGTACTTATGAAAATGCAAAATTAATGCGCAAAAGTAGGAATGTATGAGGCATTATCTAAAACAACACACTTCTCGAAAAGCTTTTTGAGATGCAGTTTGCTGTGCTTTTTCATTGGCCAAAGGAGGCCATCTACAAAATCCACCTCCCATTCACATCAAGCTATCAAACCTGAGCAAGAGGAGCAGAGGTTTACTTGGCACATGTCTAGCAAAGCACCCATATTTCACACACTTCACTACACCCTTCAAGATGTGAAGGGTGGCCCCCAAACTGTCACTGGGTTCAGTTTGCACAACTATGTACTGCCATAGCCAACAGGAATGCAACAGTAAATTCTTCCACTAGCAGAAACTAAATAGGAAGAATATTTCTCCACATCATCTGGGCAAGGAAGAACTGAAGCTTACTCTGACTAGACAGGCAAACTGCAAAAATTAACCCAAAAACTCCAAAAAGTAAATGACTATAAAGTAAACTATAATTCAGCAACCTGGCAATTTGTGATCCACTGTTTCCACACAGGAAGGCAACTCAAGAAGAACTTTTAAGTCTGAAGGAGAGCCATTGTAGAGAACGACTGTCCTAGTCCCCAAAGGCTGCCAATAGCCCAGTATTAGAGCTTTTAAAATGGTGAGAAATACAGATGTAAAATGGATGTGCTGCAAAAGTGCCAGAAACACTGATTTGCAACACGGGATGACAACATCCAGTGCAGGAGAAACCACTCAGGGTCCTAAACATGCAAAATTTACAATGGTTCCGTAAACACTGCAAAAATTGAACTATGCCTGGCTTCCATTTCATCACTCTATGGCATTTCCACTTATTTAAAAAAAGAACAACAATAACGTGAAGTTAGGGGCAAGATGTGAAACCCCAACAGTCACAATATAAACCTGAGAATTTTTTTTGGCAGTTTTACCCCCAAACTCGTAAGCTTCCACACGACTCATTTTACTCACTCTATATGTCATTGTTTGTCCCAGACAAGGAAAATAATTTAAAAAGTGACATCTGTTTGTCTAACAATACATTAAAAAAGTGATTAAGTATCAAATTAAATAGGATAAATAAAAGTGTATTTACATTTTCTTTTTAAAAAAGAATCAAACCTAATAAATTCAAACTGTGCAAACTGAAGAACATCCAACACTCAGATGTTAGTCTTTTAAACTTCACTTATTACCAACCTTACAAAAAGCCTAATATTTAAAAATACGAATTGCATCTATTGAGACATAAAAAGAATTGCAAAAATGTTTAAGACTAGTAGAAGTTATCAATTACACAGGCACTTCACATGTAAACAATCTACAGTACAACTGAAAAAAAAAATTGGCACCAACCTAGAATACTGAAAAAACCCACACATCTTTTCCTTTATACTGTATACTATTTTTCATCATCATCATACACCAACTAAACTTTTGGGGATGGTACAATAGTAAGAAGTGCAAGAAATGAAAGACAAATATTTTGGAATATGGTAATAGAGGAGAATGTGAATGACGAACCAGATTTCTACCAACTACGTAGCAGCAGTCATTTGAGAGCTACTTTTCATATCACATTTTTAGCCTGGACCCGCAGTGTGCAGACAACCTGGCACAGGAGACAAATGCACATTACAAGCAATGAATCCATGATCACAGAGAGCCAACAACTGGACTCCCTGCCCATGCATATTCCTCTGGTCTCCTATAATGCGTGCTGCAACTCTAAGACCCAAGAACAGAGCAGCATAATAGTATTCCAGGTTGTTTTTTTGTTTAAGGGGGAAAAACAATATCATGAAGTGCTAATGAGAGAATTAAGACCTGGCAAGAGACTGAAGATCTCAAAATCTGATGGCTCTGAGTCCAACAAGCACGCAGTACAATTCTTTACTAAGCTGGGTCACTGTCAGTTTGACATCATGATTCTACACAGAGGTCCAAAATAAGGCTCCATCTAAACCATCTGGCCTGAAACAACTTTTGATGGCTTGAGGTGTTCCTCTAGAGGAAGCTGGACTGGTTGGCATCAATCCATTGCAACCACATCATGGCAATGTTTGTTTTCCAAGAGTCTTCTTACAGACAGGAAAGCTGAGGTGCTTTAGACGAAGGTATTTCCAGAAGAGCCTGAACTGTGAGTCCAACTTTCACAAGACCTCGTTCTTCCAAAATATGATGAGGCAGGCAAAGTCTCTCCTGGGAAAGGAAAGAATACAACTCTTAGTATTAGTTAGTGCAGATGAATGGATTTTTTTAGATCCTTACTCCCCAAATCAGAGGTTCACTTATTATTCTACCATCTGTTCCTGTTTCAATATAAATCCTGGGGACAGGGAACTTATTTCCACCACCACTCCATTAATAAGACAATATAAATTTAGAATTTAAATAGCATGTAAAGATACTGGCCACGATCCAAAGGACTACTTTAGGCATTCCCACAACTAGGACTAATTGCATTTTCTCTTTGTGATATGGTGTGTGATATTATTCAAACTGCTTTCCAAGTTTTCAAGAGAAGCTTAGCATGTTTTATGGAATGCTGTTCTGCAAGAAATACAAGTCAAGTACCAATCTGTATACAAAACTAGTAGTGTGGTGTCTATCTGTATACTGCCCCACCAACAATAAAAAGCTCACAACACAAGGTGGTGTAATGGTTAACATCAGACTAGCATCTGGCAGGTCTGGCTTGAAATCCATACTATCCCATGAAGCTTTCTGGGGAAGGACTGTGACTCAGTGGAAGAGCCTCTGCTTCATATGCAAAAGGTTCCAAGTTCAATCCGCAGCATCCCCAGTTTAAAAGGACCAGGCAATAGGTGACTTGAAAAACCTCTGCCTGAGACCCTGGAGAGCCACTTCCAGTCTGAGCAGACAATACAAATCTTAATGGCCTGATTCAGGGTAAGGTAGCTTCATGTGGCCTTGGTCCAGTTACTCCTTCAGTCTAACCTGCTGAGGTTAGTCTCACAGGTTAGTTTATAAGGATGAAATGGGAACAGAAAACCATGTGTGCTTCCCTGAGCTCTTCAGAGAAAGGACGAGCAGAAATATACTAAAGGTAGTTTCGGCAACCACAACAGTCTAAAGTACATATACAGCACCAGCTTTATTCAGCTTCTGTCAATGGTTGAAAAATAATTTCTGCTTGTTCCCATTCATCTATCTTTCCCAATGAAACGGAATTGGGGGAGGGAAACACCCAGATGCATGACTCTAACTTCTGTACATTCTGTTAGCAGAGGCAATAAAAGCAGAGTCTCACCACCCCTCCACATAGCATTTCACCGCTGAAGAGAGAGGCAGGTATGCCTCCATTGTATTGCAAGTTCTAAAGCTATGACACATTTCCTCCATCTTACTCTCTGCAACTTGGTCAACTCTACTGTTAATGAGAACAGGTCTTTAATTTTTAAAAATTAAACAAATTACAGATATATACAAAAAATACAAAATGTTCATAAGATACATTGCCCATCTGACAACTAAACCCCGTTTTGTCCTGACTCCATGGACACAGAAAACCCTTCACCAGCAACTGACAATATTGATACTATTTCCAATTATACAATTGCCAGTTCCATTCTTTCTATCGCTCTTGACCATAAAAGGTCTACTCTATATATATCCTTCTATTTTTCTGATAAGCTGCTAATTTCACTAAAATATAGATCTCCTTTATTTTCAACAACCAGTCTTGTAGTTTAGGGATACTTTTTTGTTCCCACTGCCTGGCAAAAACCAGCCTGGCAGCAGTAATCATATGAAAGGCAATCAGATCTCAATCAGAACAGGCTTCTATCCTACCTACAGAGAGATCTACGTGGTTTCTGTAGGGTTCCTACAAAAATTGGAATGCCATCAACTCTATGACCACAGTTAGAAATGTTTTTTACCATTTACCTGTGGGACACCCAGTTTTTTGCAAGCATCAAGGAAATTTTCAACATTTCTTCGGCACTTCGCCATACTGAGTTTAGGCTGTTAAAAAGATACAGATTATCACTGCCATTGTTTATCAAGAAACTTGATAGGTACAATTTATAAATGCATAAAAGTAGAAATTCTACCAACTATTTGAAAAAGTCAATATTCCTGGAGAATGCAGTTAAAAGTCACATTTGTATTCAATAAGGATATAGGATATTTATTTCATGCACTGTGAAGACAGGCTGAAAAAATCTGGTACATGAAGTCTGCTAGACTTAAGAATGTGCAGCTTACTCACCACAGCTGGTGACGGGACATGAATACTGGCAACAGAGCGTGGTCTTATATGATTGGCTAAATGGCACAGGACGACCCCATCCATCAGTGCTGCTCCAATGTCATCTGGCAAAATTACTTTCAACCGTGACTCAAGATTCTGTTAAAAACAAGAGTCAGGGGTAAAAATAATGCCCACTGTCACAATGGTTTTCCTGCACACCAAGTTCTACATTTCCTGCACTCAACTCTTAACCCGCTTGCGGGGAGGGAGGGGTATAAATTTGAAGAAATAAATAAATAAAAATTAACGGAACACACATACCTTCAAATCACTATGGCTACATTCAGATATTACTTAAAAACCACAATTCAATTCGCAGAGAGGGGCACAAATGTAGCTTTTGTTATTGCTTGTTTCTCCACCCTTCCCTCTTTGTGTGCAGTGCAAACTACAGCTCCCTGAATGCAGGTCTCTAAAACTTCCCAGCCCCTGCAAGCCAGAATTCTAAAACAGGGCTGAAAAGAAGGGGCACAATAAGCTATTTAGGGCTTTCCACCAGAGCTTGTTTTTTTGTGCTCTGTGCAAAACAGTGAGAGATAGGTGAGAAGAACAAGGGAAGGACATGGCATGAACAAGCCACTCTCATGCCTGCCTTGGCAAACTGGCATTCCACTATGGCTTGGCATGATATTTAAATGCATTCTGCTACTCTGTAAAGGGAGCTATGGATCCATTTAAGAAAAAAATTACATTGCGTAGCTGTTTTATTTGCTCTCTCTCTTCCCGCAAGTGTTCCATTTTCCTTCTCATTGTGAATCCAGGGTCTACAGTGCTGTAGTCCTGACGAGAACGGCTAAAAGCTGCAAAGTGAAAAGGGTACATGTTTCAAGTTTTAAACCACTAAAAAGGACAATAGCGGAAGACAAGAAAACCCCACACAACACTTCTGTTAAGTTCCTAAACAATCTTGTTCCTGTATCACAACAGGGTAAAAGGGGAGCTTTCCCTAGGTCCTGTCCACAGATCATTCTGCCTAAGAATGATTGTGTGCAAAGCAAGCAAATGCAGCTGTATCACTTCGACCACAGCAAGACTCATCCTTAAAATGCTCAGGATGGCTAAGCCTTACATCAGCATACATAAATGCACGCATCTTGAGACGCAATGAGAAAGGCAGACTATGAACAAAGTACATAAATATCCCAAGGACAGGCTTCCACCAAGCCACACCAGTGCCTGGCCAGTGTTTAAGTGCAGCACAGAGTGGGGCAGCATCTGGGCTGAAGCGGGGCTCAATCTGCTTCCTTAGCCTCTCCCCATACCTACTTTCTACACTGCCTGAACCATCACCTCCCAGCCTCCCTTGCTGACATGCTGGCAGCATTTCACCATGGTCAGCATGCATACTGGTACAACCCATTTCTGAATGGGAGGCACAGGAAGTACAGCCACAGTTCTGCATGACACGGCCATCACCATACCCTGCATGTTGCTACCGCTGGCTAAATGCTTACAATGAGGGAGGGATCACCTGTCCTAGTGCCTCATCTCATTAACAATTTGATTCTGTTTAAGGTAGGCTGAGCAGCACTTTAATTCTTCCTGAAAGTCTCTGCCTCTATGATCACCTGACATAATGCCCACTTCTCCAAGACATCTACAGCAAGAGATCACTTTGCTTTCAGAGCAGTTGTACCTATCTGCCACTTCCTAGTTTTAAGCAGTCTGTTTTCCCACATACCCCTTAAAAAGTCTGTCACCTGATCTGGGCTTCAGTCCAAAGGGGCCGTGAGAACTACCATCTGCCCTGTCATAATCCTGGGAGGAAGGAAGAAACAGAAAAGGAAAAGTCAAAATTCAGATACTCCAAAAGGATTGTCATCAATCCCCTGCACAGCAAACCTAGAGATTTTTCCATTAACTTAGCCAGAATGATACGTTCAGGAAGGTGCTAGACTGAGACTGTCCACTCTTAGAAGGGAGAAGCAACAGACAATGGTGACAGTTCACCCGGAAGCTTGCCTGCACAAGCCCCATTTTAACATCATGTCTAAAAACAGACCGAGGCTATTCTGCTTTTTTTGCTTTCTTGAAGAACAGGAAGGTGGGTAGGTATCCCTTAAGTATCCCCCCCCCCATAGATTTTCATAAAGGAAAAGGAGCATGACTTAAAAATTAGAAGCTTGAAGCCATTTAGCTACTTCCTTCCTACTTTAAATTGTAGACCATATGTAAAATATTCCAGACAAATCTTCAAGGGAACTTTTATGGTGCACTATTCTCTAGTTTTGCAGAGGGTGGCTTTCAAGTTGGAGTCCACACTGCAACAAGTTAGCAGGGAGAGGGAAGCTACTTTAAATAAACACAGACACACACAGACTTGTACCTCGGATGACACAGGAGACTGTGGGGACACATTAGTATTATCACTGTCTTGCTAAAAAGAAACCAAAAAGATGGAATTATAAAATGGAAGTTATGACTTTTAAAAAAAAAGTTTGGCATGAAATTACAAACATGCATGCACGCCATTTCCTGTACACACAGAGATATGACTAAATGTGCATGCACACATCAAAAAAGCCAGGACGATATGTACATGCTTAACTATATTACAATGTGGAGCTTTCCATATGGGAAAAGCATCAGAATGTGGATCCCATCGCAAGCAAAACTCCTTCCTATTACATCTGCCCCGTTAACGTTTTTCTATTGGCACAAGGGCAACTCAACAAGGTGCCTGTTCAACTTGAATCCACAGCCAGCTAAAGATGAGCTTAGCCCGAAGTGGTTCCTCTTGCCAACGGTAATAAAATCCAACTGTGCTCCTGGTACTCCCTTGAATTGCAGCCAGTATCTACATTAACGCCTTAAGATCAACTAAGAAATAAGTTCTCTTCCTAAGGAGCTTTTTGAAAAAGGAAATTGAGTTTCTCTCAATCTTTCTAAACTGCTGTCAGACTTTACACCTGAGACATCCAGCACTCCCTTTTATTTAAAGAAACAGAACAAGGGGAGAAATGCTGAAATGATGAAGAACTGTTGCTCTGGAAACCTCAGCACTAGCAAGAAAACTGGAGAACACCCCTAATGCAGGTGCACAATAGATCTACCAGCTAGCTTGCAGTGGATTGTGACTGTGATAGTCAAGTTGCCACTGGTAATCATTTAGAGATTCTTTGCAATGTAGCAACAAGCAGGCAAAATTATGAAAATACACCAATTCTTCAGCTATGTATTTAGCTTTTTTAAAGCTATTTTAATGTCAAGTTGCAAGTACTAGACATCAATACCCCAAATGCCAGCAGTTTATGCTAACATATTAAGGAAGTAAAACTTGTTAAAAACCACTGTAATATATGGAAACCATCCTTAAATGAAGCAACATCTTTAAGATACTTCAGAAGTGGTCTACAAAGCTGGAATTATACTTTAACTAGGGGCAAGGCCCGTTGCGGGAAGAGGCAACGAGCCCTAGGGAGAGCGACTGCCGCGGGCCAAGGCAGTGGGGCTTGCCCCCCAAGGAGGGCCAGGGCGCGGCAGGCGAGGGAAGCACGGCAGGCGAGGGAAGCACGGCAGGCGAGGGAAATGCGGCGCAGCCACCTCCCCCCTTCCTGAGGCCAGCCGGTGCCGGCAGAGCCCCCCCAACGCAGGACCCACAGCCTGGCTGGCGGAGGCCGCTCTGGGTGAGGGAACCCTGGCACGACCGACAGAGAGAGGCCTCGCAGCAGGGAAGGGGGCTGTTCTCACACACACCCCGAAGCAGGGCCTGTCACCTCCACAGGTGAGGCTGCGCTGGGTGGGGGAAGCACGACGCGGCTGCCTCCCCCCTTCCCAAGGCCCGCGAAGGGAACTCCCTCAAAGAAGGAGCCACTGCCTTCCCGTGTCCGACACTGCCGGGCGAGGGAAGTGCGGCACAGCCGCCTACCCCGTCTCCGAGGCCAGCCAGGGCTGGCACAGCCCCCATCCCCAGAAGGTGATGGAGCGAGGCAAACTGCCCACCTGTTCATGACCGACCTCCTCCTCCACCCTCTCCCATCCCCCTTGCTTCCAATTCGCTTCTCTGGGACTGCTGCTTCCTCCCTGCCACCAGGCCTGCCTTCGCTGTGCCCCCAGCCCATCGCCTCGCATCGCAGCCTCCCTTCCCCGGCTCCTGGCGGCGGCGTTCACTTGCAATGGATGGCTGGGACGCGGCCGAGGTACCCTCCACTGGCAACGTGATTCCCTCTCAGTTCTGCAGGCCAAGGAAGGCCACACGGTCGGCTGGACCTGTGGAGGCCTTCCCCTGGCTTAGCCTGCAAACGGTCCCGTCCACCAGAGCACAGTGAACTGAAGACCCTGGCCGGGGCTGATGTGCGTGGGACTCCACAAAGCAGCCAGCCAACCCAGCCAGCGTCTTCTGACTGGCAGTTCATGCGGCCAACCTATTTTGGTGCGCATAGAACGTTGGGGGATGAAAACTCAATTATATATAAGGAGAGATAGGCACAAGTTTCCCTTTGTGATCAATTTACTTCCTATTATAATCCTAACTCACCTCATCATTTTCATTTCCACTTGAACTCTTCCGGGAAGACTTATACTGAAAAAGCAAACAATTGTGTTTCAAGCTGTTTCAACAGGATACATTTCATTTAGCATAAATCCCAACCACAACATCTTCCAAAATGCTTCTAATTTTGCCTTCTTCTCAACAAATGTTTTCTTATACCTGGGCTAAACATCGTGCAGCATTAGGTATGAGACCCCAAAGATGGTAGAACACACTGCATCACTTCAGACTGCATCACTATTTTTGATGGATACTGTTTTTGAGTGTTCTCCTATGTGAAAAACTCTGCAAGCAAAGAACTGGCCATACTGTGCCAGTTTTCTACTAATGAGAGACTTACACGCAGAGGAATGTTAAAAATGTGAAACTTGCCCCTACTGTGGTCTGAACTGGTGAAGTCCAAATGCTTCAAAAACTACTGCACTTGTTCAGCTCTGTGCTGACATAAGATCTCCATCACGCCAGATATATTCACAAGGCCTTGCTTTGAGAAGGGTGAAGTTTGAAAATAATAAAGCTTTACATCCATCACAGCTAAACCGAAACACGTTCCCACATGTTTAAATTCACATACAGAACCATTCCCAAGCCTGGAAAGTATGTCTGACACTTTTAAAAAACAGACAAGCTATGAGCCATTAGTAGACATTGTTCAGCTGATACATAGGAGTTCTTTGACAGAGAACTAAAGATTCCCTTCGACCCTCAAATGGCAAATGGCAAATACAGTCTACTTCCCAGAAATCTGACCGGTGCAGGGGGGGGGGGTCCTTACTGTCCCTACATAAATAAAGCAGCAGAGGCAATTCTATCATCTATTCTTAGAGCTACTTTTGCTGAGAACATGTTGCTGCACTCAGTTTGAGTCTTTGTCATGAGAGAAACATCAGAGTGTACCAATTTCACAATGGAGAACATTCTGTTTTTCTATTCCCTACCAAATGAATGGCACTGATGCCTCACTTATGTTCAGGGGATTTAAAAAAAAAAAACCCTTGTAGGTCAGAATAAAGACAGACAGTGCCACCCTGTGGTAAAATATTACTTTCAGATATAGCTGTGTTATTATTTCTATACTAAGAGACAATCTCAAAGAAAGCTGATGAGAAATGTCAATATTTGAGAGAACCAGGAAATGAGGTTATATACAGGCCAAGAAAATTCCCCATTTGCAACATAATCCTGTCTATATGAATGTCTGGGAAAGGAAAATTGCTGAGTCACAGAACAGGGGCATACCCCTATCATGTCACTGGAGAGCTCCCTTCCTCCCAGGTACCATCATGAAGAAGAGTTAGTTTTACGCCCTACCCTTCACTGCCTGAAGGAGTCTCACTTACAATCACCTCCTCTTCCTTTCCCCACAACAGACACCCTGAGAGGCAGGTGGGGCTGAGAGAACTGTGACTAACCCAAGGTCTCCCAGCTGGCTGCATGTGGAGGAGTGGGGAATCAAACCGAGTTTTCCAGATTAGAGTCCACCACTCTTTAACCACTACACCACAGCTGGCTCTCTGTGACCCCCACCCCAAGACCAAGGGAGAAGACAAAACCATGAGGCACTCTTTCATTGTAGCTAGACCAAGGTATCACGAAAATCATATCTTTATATTAGTTTTAAATTGCTGTAAGCTGTGTTGGGTTCTATTTGTTTTGGTTGAGACAGTAGAATAGAAATGCTACCTAGAGAAGGGTAGTGGATCAGTGGCAGAAATACTGTCATCTGAAGGGGAAGCAGGACTATCTAGACTCATCTCAATCTGGATTCAGGCCTGCCTCTGGGATAAAAACAGCCTTAGCCGTTGCCAGAAGTGTGCACCCCTATAGATTCTCCTGGACTTCTGGGCAGTTTTCGACACTGTTGACTATGGATATATCCTTGTGGAGAGGCTGGCATGGTTCAATTCCACACTTCTCTAACCAGCCAGTTCCAGAAGACGGTATTAAGGGATTGTTGCTCAGTGATGTGGTCAGCACGGTCCATCACATCCCCCATGATGTTTAACATCTGTATGAAACTGCTATGAGAGATCTTCCCAGGATTTAGAGTGAGGTACCACCAATATACAACTAGCTCTATTTTCTCCTAGCAGCTGAACCAGATGTATTTGTAGAAGTCCTGAACAAGTGCCTGGAGATTATAACAGGACAAACGACAGCCAGTAAACGGAAGCTTAGTTCAGACAAGACTGTGGGGCTGTGGGTCAATGATAGAACTACACCGTTGCTGATGAGTAAGCCTTTCTGCAGGAAGTTGCACTCCTCTTGGAACACATAATGTATCTTGGGGATGCCACTAGATCCTGGCCTATTGTTGGAGGCCTAGGTATCCTCCATGGCACACAGTTCCTTTTATCAACTTCAACATTAACTACAGTTTTTCCTCAAAAACCATGTTCTGCCCATGGTGATTCACTCTCTGATCACATCCAAATAAGATTCCTGTAAGATGACTTACATAGGACTGTCTTTTAAAACTAAATGGAAATGTCAGTTGGTCCAAAATGAGGCTACCAGGCTGCTGTCAGGAGCTCGATACAGGAAGTGTATCACCCCTGTACTTGAAAGATTTCCACTGGCTGCCCATTCATCCCCAGGCACAATTCAAAGCATTGCTGGGGTACTTAAATGACTGCTTCCTCCCATACTGTCCAGCCCCCCCAGTTAAGATGCTCCTCCCACCTGCAAAGGCTAGGCAGGTCACAACCAGAGACAGGGCTTTTTCAGTGACAACACCTCACCTGTTGGAATGCTCTCCCCCTTGAGGTCCGCCTAGCACCTACTTTATTTTTAAATACCAGGCCAAAACACTTATATCTTCATTCAGGTTTAACTGAAACGTTCCATTTTTTTTTTAGCTGTTTAATGATCTGATTCTATACTCAGGACAGTTTTATGACTTGTGGTTCTTAGAGCTTATTTTAATATTATATTTTCATCTGTTTATTCTATTGAGTGTTCCAAACCTTGTGAGCCACCCTCAGCAGGACCCTAGAGAAGCAGCATATTAAAAAAAATGAGGTGCCAGGTTCAATCCCCAGCATCTTCACTCAAAAGTATCGGGTAGCGGCCTTGACCTGGATAGCCCAGACAAGCCCAATCTTGTCAGATCTCAGAGGCCAAGCAGAGCCAACCCTGGCATGTATTTGGATGGGAGACCTCCAAAGAGCATCAGCACTGGGCGGCAGAGGCAGGCTATCAAACCACTTCTCTGAACATCCTCCATGCCCCAAGTAGGAGTCGCCAGAGGTTGCCATGACTTCCAGGCACGGGCACGCACACACAAAAATGCAAAAAAAACCCAAGACAAAAGTATTGGGTAGTGGGTGATACAAATAATCTCCACCCGAGACAGCCACCACCAGTCAGAGTAGATAGTACTGAGCTTGACAGACCAATATAAAGCAGCTTCATGTGCATACTTCTACAGAGTCAATATGTGGATGGAGATGAGGCTTGAAGCATATGGTTAAAGCAAGCAAATCTCTAACTAAAAGAGGCAACAGCCTGTCCTTTCCAGGCTCTTTAGTCCAGTGTTATTTGAATGCTGTGATGCTGTTTGTACTGAGGTACTGTGAAACCCACAAACACATAACCTGAAATTTACTAGCAGCAGAAACTTTAAGCAGCCTTTTGAAAAAGATTTATACATGGAAGGAAGGTCTAATAAATAGCCAGGCTAGATGAAAACAGAACCTCCGTATTCAATGGCAGTGTTCCTCTGATTGCCAAGTCAGCCTTGTAGCCAGAAATTTTTTACTGTGGGGGGCAAACTGGACCTGCTGGTAGGGTGAACTTACTGGCAGCTCCCAAGACCCCCCCCCCCCAATGGCTCAGGCTCCCATTGGAGGGGAGGGAGAGGGGCGACCACTGTGTGGCCTCACCAGGTCTTCCTGCTTCCACAGCCGGCTTCTCAAACTTTGAAAAGTTGGCTGCAGAAGGAGGAAAACCCAGAGAGGCCACCCCTCTCCCTCCCCTGAGAGGGCTGGGCATATTCATGGAGGGTGTCACCCTCGTGTCATCCCCCCCGCCCCCGTGGCTACAGGACTGTGCCAAGTGCTGTTACCACCATCAAGCCCTCCTCGTGCACTACCCAGGGATCAGCTTGCTGCTGTTGAAATGAACTAGAGTAATGGACCTTCGGTCTAATCCAACAACGCAAACCCTTGTATTATCTTCTTGCTGTATCTTGCTCTGCCGCATTACAAAAATCTTTTTATACACCATTAAGCTGCCTTTCATTATTCTATCAACTCCACCCCAACAATCTCATATCTCTACCTTCTTTAGCTCCAAGTTTTCACTACTCCCAGCACAAGGCTCATTGCAGAATCTTCTGCTACTCTTCTCTCCTTTTAAAGACAGGGTGTGGCATTAGCCGCCAGTTGAGTTGAGGAAAGTCCCACTGAGGATATTTCTTGCACTCTTTC